TTATTTATTATTTTCACTATCACCTATTGAATTATTCAATAAATTTCAGGAAAATTGGGTACATACATTAACTCCACTTAAATTACCTTCGACAACCTTTGACATGGCTTTTAGTGGTTTTACCCTTAATTAATGCAATATACTCGACGCAACAGTTTATCAAATTAATTAACTTGACACAAAATAACGCTTACAAAGTGATTTTCAATTATATTGAATCGCAGGTGTCACCTCTTGGCTCTTTATTTTTGCTATCATCATCATACACCCACTATGTCGCTGGCATATTAAATCAGATTTATTCATCTCAGGAAACATTACACATAAATTGTTGTATATTATAACGGCGAAATTTTAATGTAGTTTTCGTGTTGTCGCTTCGTGTTACCTAAAAGCTTTAGACAATATATTTTCCTTTTCATTTAGTACGAGCGAATTTGCACGAAACGTGGGAGAAACGAGCTTCACGTAAACTTTGTGACCTTTTTAATACACCATAAAAACATAACTTTAAGCGTATTTAACACGCGTTTTTATATTGTTGTTTTAAATAACTCTTTTTATAAAAAAGTACAGGAACTTTTGTACTAGTGTATTCTAATCATTTACAATTATATAATATTATTATTTGATTGTTATTGATGTAGATGTTAGTGATCTTCTATTTTGTAAAGTTTAAAATAAATTTGCTTAGCAAGCAATTTATTATTGGTTTCAAATTACTTATCTATACTAATATATAAAGTTGAACGGTTTGTTTGTTTGTTTGAACGCGCTAATCTCAGGAACTACCAAAAAATTTTTTTGGTGGTCAAAACACTATCGAGAATACTATGAAAATCGCACTGTGACTAATAGGAGCGAAGAAGCAGCGGGAAATGTGAAAAAACCCCGGGGGAATTTTTCTTTTCTGTGGGTTTCCGGGGGGGCCGCCCCCCCCCAAAAAAACCAAAAACCCAAAAAATGATTAATTTTGAAATGATCTAAAAAAATGCCCGCGACACTTTGTATCTATCTTTGAAGATTAACTTGCAAGACGACGGGACCCCAACGACGGAACGCGTCCGATGTCGATTAGTACTTTTAATTTATAAAGATGAGGTTTGCAAGAACAAATTTGGATGCCTAAAATAACTATAACTCGGACGAAGTCGGTGACACAGCTAGTTTAGTATAAACCGATTCAAAATAAATAACTGTACGTCAAAAGATACGTAACGCTAAATAGAATGAAACAAGAATTGATTAAACAGATTTTATTTGAAATAACTTTAAATATTAATTTTACAAGTGTGTTTTCGTGCCTACATTAAAAGGCCCCGTTGAACTACACAGTTAATTGAGGTATTTTATTAATTACACAATCGTTTATCACAAAATTACGTGGGATATGGTTTATACCACTGATGAATGCCAATTCTAGTGTAATTCCATCAGTTGGTTTCAACTGGGATAACTAAAAGCCTTACTTAGATTGACAGACAACCTTTCATGAAATGTCACTAAGATAACAAGCCTCGAAGCCTTAGCTGAAGTCTTCTCTACACCCAATTAATCAAATGCGTGTACATTTACTGCTTCCCAAAAAATTTCTATAGGGAGAAGTATACTCGTATCTTAAGACTCAATAATTAATATTATGTGGAAATATTGTAAAATAAAAGGATGACAGGATAGTGAAAAAAGGATTATTTTACACAGGTACGTAGAACACAAGATTTTGCCTTTTAACTTTTCCCAAAACCTTTCTTAAATACTGATATATAACTTTGATTAATACTAAACCATATCATCTGTAAATGAACACTATGAAAGCATGAAAAAAAAGAAATACGATAATAAAAATAAGAAAAAAAAATAAAACAAAATTTAACCAAAAATATTTTACTAAGGACGCACACAACAATATACATAATACAATAAAATATACCCGTTTCATTTCACCACAACTTATTCATACACTACAATATGTAAATGTTTCTATAATTAGACTCAACTGGCAAGATCTACGAAGAAATGTTTATTCAGGAACAAAACATTCTGATCGGGTATCTCTCGAGACTGAATCATGATGATACGTCTTACTTTCCCACAAGTTGGAGTCGGGACTCCAATGAAAGTGTTTGTGTGTGATACATGTGTTTTCGTGTCAAGTGAGGTCACAGATAAATTATTTTAGAGCACAAGCAAGGAGCTAACTCCCACCATAACGAATAGAAGTCTCTGCAAATTTTTCTCCCCCCATTTTTGTATGGTCCCTATTTTCATCGTTGCGCGATTTTAACAGATGTTAAAACTTGACTATGGTTCCCGATCGTATGTATAAGTCTACACACTACTACGTTTAAATATTTTAAACATATCGCTTAATAAAATATAACTCACTGAATTCACCTAGTAAATACGTCATGGTACAAACCAATACACGATAGAAATAATACTAATCACTACACTTTATAACTAAACACTAGTGTTTTATGAGACTCTATACGACTGCTATTTTTGTGTATCGCGTATTTAATTACATATTCGACAAAGTAAGATTAATAAGAAACTACTGAAATGTGATTATGTATGTCAATGTGTATATCGCCTAAGATAATACTCCAAAATTACTACAGAATATGATTTTCACTAGCATATACATAAACCAAATCTCGGTTAACTAATAAAGAAATAATCTTTGAGCAATAACTAGAGGCCGATCGCTCATTATGATTTTCAGTTTCCTTCGTGAGCTAGTATTATCATAATTTCACTATAAATCACTTGGTTGAAGTACGTCAACCCTCCAAGTCCCAGTCATATTGTTTGCGTATTTTATTGAATCTTACATAAGAATAAATGTACTAATAATACATATTGATAGTGATGTATCTTTGAATAAATAAATATTATTGATCATAGGAAATAATAGAACCTAAATAATTAACAGCCTAAAAATTCAATTACATTAATATTTATTTCCTGATATTTAATAATTTAAATTACAAAGTACACTATTTTGTAATTGTATCGAATATTAATGCATACATACAGTAAACTTGACTTTTACTGACTTGCCTGTATCGCAAATAAATATTTCAGTACTGTATATAAATGAGCAGATTGACAGACTTGATTTTAAAATTGGGTCAACTTGAATCGTTAACAAGATTTTCTTTATGTTGGGACATATTAAGATCTTATTAAAGAGAGGATGTGTATGTACAGCATGGACTTTAGTTATACAAAGTACGCACTTAGTGTATTACTCCAACCGAACGTATATTTTTCTGCCTCCGAGAGTACGTACTTAAAGGCATGACCACGCCCACTTTATATCACTGAACACTATTAGTTAGTTAATACAACACGTCTTATAGAAAATAAATTTAAACCGACACATTTTTATTGAAAGACAAAAATGTGTCGGTTAAAACAATATTTCCTTTAGTTATAAAGTGATGGCTAAAGGAAACATTTTTAATGTCTGGTATAGTCTGTTGCATAAAACTGCTATACATATGAATTGTAATTGTTACTTCATGATTTGATTGGGTTTATCTATCCTTAGTTACCGTTTAAAGTACCTTTATTATTGCATTTGGTTAGCAGTAAGGCTTAGTTTAAAAAAATAATAATTTGACTCACTCAAACTCACCGCATTGCATCTTAATGCTAGTCCTATTCAAGACTACTGAAGAATAAAAACTTCAACCGCTACCAACTATATCTATGGTTATCCGAATTGAAAACAGTCTTTGGTGTTGTTCTGTGGTTTTATACACTATACATATTTATTGCTTAATAGATTCTCTAGTAATCGCAACGATATATATCAAGATATCTGCAAAACGTTAGTGAATAAATATATACGCCTTTACGCTTAACCTAGTCTGAACAGTCAATGTTTTGAAGAGTCTAATTTATCATACTTATACGTGAATTTTGTTTAAATATAAAGCAAAAATTAATGAAGAAATATTAAAAATGTCTAGCAATTTAAATAAAACACTTTAACGGTTTAAAACGCGATATATTAGTTAAACTTATTTGAAAATGATTTTTAACTTCGGCCCGACGTTTCGGTTGCTTTACAGCAACCGTGGTCACGGGGAGACTCAAATAAGTTTAACTAATATATCGCGATATAAACCGTTAGTGTTTTATTTAAATGTGTACTACTCGCGTAAACATAGACAGTATTCAATTTCTAGCAATTTAAAATAAGGAGAAATTTTAAAGATAACTTGATTAGTAGTCAAAACTATGAAAATTATAAGAACGCCGTTAAGTTTAGACATAGGCCCGTCAAATATTCAAACGTTTGACAAAAAATATACGATACAATTCACTACTATTCTCATCAAACCACTACCGGTTACTAATTCTAGCATTTCTATACTTCTACGGGAATCTAAGGCCATTTCAATTATTTATTTAGAATATATTTTATGGAGTTATCAGGAAGACTGTATGAACGAACAATCTCAAGGCTCAACATATGTTTTTAGTTCTGTAAACAATTACTGAGTACAAAAGTTCAAAGATTAACTATGTTTTATAATCTTTATATATACATATTGATTTTACTTCGTCACTGTCAGCTGTCAGGTATATGTCACATATTTTGAAATATCTGTATTCGTATAACGGTGTGTTATGTTCAAGTTACAATAACTAAACGACAATATGACAACTAACCGTATAGAATTATCCACGAAGACACTTCAATTAATTGCAAAATCATAGACTGTACTTTTATATATATCCAATAATACTAGTGGCATAGACACCTGCATAAAGATTATATAGAAAGAGAACTGAAACATTATATACTTGAATGTTAATTGAATTCAAACGAATTGAATTAAATCAGAATTTTTCATTAGATTATACTAAATGTATATATCTTATTTTTGAACGTCAATGTATAAATCCCATAAAATTATGACCCACTATAATTAGGTCATATAAAACTAATATTGACGTTTCTGATAATTCTTTCTCTAATGCTTTTATGCCATAAGTTTTCCATTCGATTTAACGTCCCCGTTGATATTAGATTGCGGTGCGTTGTGTCGCCGTCTCTTCTTGGCATGGTTGTATACTGGTAGAACGAGGAGAACAAGACCAGATATTCCAATGAACACGCCGGCCAAGTAGAAAGATAGATCGTACGAACCGCGCATGTCGTAGACCCAGCCTGAAAGTCATGAAAAAATTGCGATGGTTAATAATGTTTATTAATTCTTTTAAGAGAGACTTCGACAGGAAACAAATTTTAATATATAAAAAATAAAAACTGACATGATTGAAACCCTTTTGAATATTAGAATACGAAATCACGTGCAAGTCACGCGAGTACCCGTATTGAATTGTACTTTGGCTGACTTCGAGTATCTTATTTTGAATAATGCAATTTATATTAGTTTACTTATTTTAAACTGGGGCCGATGTTTTGATTCCTTTGCAGCGCCGTCGCTACGTGGTGATTCCGCGGACCAAAAATTGGGACATGTTTAAAATAACTAATATATATCGCAATTGAAAGCGTTGCAAAATTGAAATGTATTCGCGTAAACTACAGATAGACAACATACAATACATATTTTGACCAAAATATGTAGAGAAGTACCCACAAGATCATATTCTTGCGGGGATGTCTTTAAAACTTACTTCAGTACTTCCACATTCAAGATTATTCACAATATTAATTAAGAGAATTTTAATTTAAATTCAATGGTAAACTAAAAAAGTGTTGTAGTTCATTTTCTAGTGCTGGCGGGTATGAAATAACAAATTAAGGCTTTAATTTTGACTTCCATATTGCTTACCAGCTAAAGACGGGCCAACGAGATTAGCGACTCCCTGGATGAGCAGCAGCAGCCCATACGCGTTGGTAAACTTCTCCAGTGTGATCTGCTCAACCAGGATTATACTAGTCAGTGAGTAGTTCGCCGCTATAAAAGCACCAAACGCCCCAGAAGAGGCCGCCACTGCAAAGTATGACGTCAGAAGCGGCATTATCAAAGTAACAGCACCGCACAATACCATACAAGCCGCGTAAACCAAGCTGGGATTCACGCACTCCCAGTCACCCACCCAGCCGAGTAAGATCTGAAATATGGAAAAAGAAAGTTATATTTAATAAGAAAAAAACGTAGTCTGATTGTGGTCTTGTTAGAAGATGATATGAAAAATTATTCATAGGTTTTTAGGGCATAGAAATCAAGACAATCTAATCTATTAATAAATAAGAGCTTGTTTGAACACGCTAATCTTAGGAATTACTGGTTCTATTTAAAAAAAATTAGTGTCGATTGGACCATTTATAGAGGAAGGCAATCGGCTATAAAACTTCATGCTGCGACTCATAGGAGCGAAAAATCAGAGGGAAGCGTGGAAAAAACCGAGAAAAGTAAACATTGTTGACGGTTTACAATTCGAAATATATTAGTGAATTTGTTTTGAATATATTTCAACTTTGACCGGGCGTTTCAGATATTGTTTAGCAACAGTGATTCTTGTACGACAGATTCTGTAGGATATGCAGGCAGAAAGCCCAACATTCTGGTCAGAGTAAAATCCAGTACACATTTAAGGTAGTGGAAGTCAGATAAGGCGAGAAAATGAATATTAAATCTAAAATAGATTTTAAATAATTATGATTATCGGTAGATCAGAGTGAACTGTGAGCCTTACTAACAAACCAATTCAGCTTGATTAACAAAATAATAGAATCGAGTCGAGGACGTTATTATCACGACAGTGTTTCTTCTTTTTTAATTAAAGGGGAAAATGTCTATTCATTAAAGCGAAGCGCACTAATGAGTGCATTTAATATTTATACAAACCGACAAGAGGTTTCGTTCTGACAAATCCCGAAAGAATGGAGACGCGCTCGGCAAATACTTTTTCAGACATTTTTCATACAACCATTGCAAATGTTAAATCAAGCTGGAGTGTTTGATACTTCGCTTTGCGACCGTTTAAAAATTATGGCGCTTTTCTTAATAATAAACTAAGAGAAAACTGGCTTTCTCTTTGTATATACAATTTTAAATTATATTTTTAAAATTGCATACAATGTGCGTTTTGTGAAATGACAGAAAATATTCAGCTGCAACAAAAACCTAAGAGTAGCGGCGATGCGCTGGTTTACAGGTACCCCCGAGGGATAGGAACCGAGTAAGTGACGATTAATTGCACATTATATTAACCTGACGGAAATACAAACTACATTAAAGTAACACAAAAAAACAAATATGTACAACCAAATTTAACGAGATTTTACACTTTTAATCTTGATTTACTAAATCAAGATTCAGAAAAGAAACAAATAGATTTTTAGAAACATATTGGACCTGATGAGAATTGAACCCACGACCTCAATTGCTACAATTGGACAATCGAACGCGTCAAATTTAAGACAAGGTTTTCATCTACCTACATTGAAGCCTGTATCAATTTTGTTCTAAGAAGTGCTTGTCTTTTCACGATCCTTTTCTTCAAAAAATAATCGAGTCAGAGGTGCATTAAGATTTTTGACTGACTGACTTTATTAGTAGACAAACAAGAGTCTTACTTTCGATCCTACTATCTGATAGTAGGATCGAAAGTAAGACTCGGGTGCAACACGGCCCTTAAAGGTAGAGTGTTTTTAAACTTTATTATTTAGAACAAAAATTGTTAAAGCTTGGACTCTATTCTACAAGAATTTGACCGCCTTTGACAAAGAAAACCTATTGTTTTCCAAAAGCTTCGGATTGTTGAAATTAAAAAATGTAGGTCGCAAGCTCTGAACCAGTCAATTGACACGTGTTAATATTAAAGTAAGTACAATGATAATTTCATTGTACGCTCGTTCCATTGTAATCATAATACAAATACCTAAATGAGTAATCATGTGTATAGTAATCAATTGTTTATCTAACATTGAAATGGGTCAAGATAACTAAATACAGAGTTAAGTCGGACTCAAATTACTTTAATTAAATAAAATTATCTGTGTCCTTAAGTTAAAATCACGATGTACCTAGTGCTAAATGATATAGTAAGTAGTTACTTAATTTTTGAGAAAAAAATATACACACTTTGCACACGCAAGTCAATTTCAACGTTATATGGACACATAATATATACTTTGCGAAGTTTTGTTCGTGTTATTGTAAAGCAAAGTCACCCATCTTTGTTCTTATTTCAATGATCGTATTTCCCTAGACTTCAAACCCAGCCAACTATAGTACGGTAGGGTGTTTTTCTAATCATCCACGTGGCATCTTTAATATTATATTATTATATGTATACAACAAACGAGACTTATAAAAGCGATAAGCAACAAATAAAGTCAATAATGATAACTAATGATTAGTGTTTGATATGATAAATATTTGCAGTGATTAAAAAATTTATATATATATTTACGGCAAAGTAATTAAAAAAATGAAGATGCCTAGTGATTTAAATATACTGTTTTCATATGTCAACCAGTATTGCTCAATGGTTAAACACAATAATATTGAGGTTTGAGTCTCGGGGAAAAAATAAAACAGTCTAGGTAAAAACAAAATCGATCGGTGTAATTACTCTATGGATATATACATACACACGTAATATATTTATCTGTTTAATGCCCCAGGTGTGTAAGTGGAGAGAGATTTAACTTACTATTGTAAGAGTGGATTCAAACAATGCAATCATTATAAAACATTGTATAAACCTGGTATTAACAGCTGTTTTCATACAGAAAATAGAACTTTTACATTATTAAAATGATTTATATGATAGTAAATTATTATCTAGCTCACAGATGATTATGATGACCTTGCCACGTACACATGATTACTACTATGTAACTCTAACAATAATGAATATAAGGAAAATTAGATTCTAAAACTTATATAAATATAATACGTGATTTTATAAGCTATCATGTCCTACAGTCGTGTAAAATATACTACACAATTTATTTAGGACTGTTGTGTCACAGAGACATTAATAAATATTCTTTTTTTTTCAAAAATGTAATACGTATGTACATAAGATAACCTAAAAATATAGGCTTATGTTATCAGGGAGGTAGTCACAGTAAATATATCGATAAATAAGAGTCAATTTTCTTATTTTTTGTGGTTGTATGTTCATAACTTTAATAATTAATACTAATATAAAAAATAATCTCACCTCCCCAAACATGTTCAAAATACCGATGATGGATATAAGCATGGCCGACTGTGACGCGTCGAATCCCATGCTCTGTCCGTTATCCGCCATATACACGTAAGGCACATCGTACCACATGTACAGCAGGAAGTTGGAGATGGCGAATACCAGGAACGCAGGATTGAGAAAGTGTGAGAAATCCAGGACGTCGACTACCAAGTCCCAGAAATCCCAGAGGCCAGCGTACCATTGCAGCTGAAATAGTTGTTCATTGTATTATAAGGACGCTATTAATAAGATGCGAAATAGGGCCACGATAATTAGCTTACAAAAAAAATATATTTGAGTATCTAACGTAACTAAAGTGTTTTCACGCTAAGCTAATAACTTAAAACAGTATGTTACTGAAAAATTTATTATTTTTTACATGGTATTGCACATGAATACACTATATAAATTAAAAATCAAAAATAAATTGAAAAAATTTGATCCGGGCAGGACTTGAACGGACTTGGTTCTACACAGCCGGTGTACCGCTGTTGCTCTGGCAAATGTTCTACTCGGGCAGGACTTGTAAGTCCTGCCCGAGTAGAACATTTTTTCAATTTATTTTCCATTTTTAAATTACAATGTTTATAATCAAGAATTTGATGGTAGATTTCAATCAGTTTGCACTCGCACTTGAAAAGAAATAATTTAAAGAACTAACCTTTTCTTTAGCAATGGTCGTCATTGAATTTCTAAATATATTTGGACATGATGATGCCCTTAACCTATAACGATTGATATTTAACATAGCTCCTCTATATGTCAATGAATGTCTATGTATACGCAGGTCCTTCAAGAACGCCGGTGGTTTCTTCGTAGACCCAGCGCCTTGTCTTCTCAACCATAACGATAAAGCTGCCTTGTCATTCAATGGGGCTCTTGAAGTATTAGCAGATGTTCCATTTGAAGTTGTGGTCGGTGACATTGGTCCCGGAGAGGTACACCCAGGAGACATGATAGATTTAGGCGGAGATTGTTCGTTGAGCCGACCGCTATCACTGAAACTCCTAGAAGGCAACATTACACCCGGGTAATTGTTCTGAGCCAGGATCGCATAAGCTCTACCACGATTCGACATCATCTCGAATATCTCTAGCGAAACTCCTTCATCGCCAGTCATAAATGTGGGCAAGTCGACCAGCGAACTAAATTGTGGTACTATCGTAGCAGTTACAGCTTCTACATCGGGTTTGTCTACGACTTTTGTAGACCCTGCCGCACTACTTTTACTGTCCGAAAAACTATCCGCAGAAGAGCCATACCGTTTATTGCGTTTTCTTTCTCGTCGTCTCTTTCTTTCTTTTGCTCTCTCTTCGTTCATAGTTGCCGTCCACGGCAGATCCCGGAATAAGAGGCCACACACTGCCATATTCAGAAAAAATCCAGCCAGAATGAGTGTCGTACCCCGCCATCCGTATTCATCCAATAATATGTATGTCAAAGGTGCAAATATAAATGTACCAATACCACTACCACACACTGATATTCCAGTAGCTAATGATCTTTTCTTCTCAAAATAGTAGGCTACTATTACTACAGCGGCCACGTAACATAAACTTAATCCGAAACCGGCCATAATACCGAACGTCAAAAATAACGTTTCCATATTGTCTACAAAAGCTGAGATTACAAATCCTATCGCTGCTAGAATGGATCCGAAGATGGTCATGCGTCGACAGCCGTACCTGTCCGTTAGGAAACTCGCGATGGGTCCGGACAAAAGCGGCATAGCCATGAAAATTCCTCCAATCCAAGCCGTCTTTCCCTTGCCCTCGCCAAAGTACTCCAGAAAATATGGAAAGAACACCCCGAAACTGAACGTAATACCATCCGCGATGAGATTGACCATAAACGAAGCAAACACGACCACCCATCCCCAGCCGCCGTCGGGCGGGCGGGCTTCAGCGATGGATACCTCCTCATCGTCGGAGCTCGAACTCGACGAGGACCCGGTGACGGAAACCGGCGCGGGAGGAGACTGTGCATCGAACTGCACGTGGAGCAGACGTCCGTTTTTCCGCGGCACTTCACTAACACTAAGCGGGTCGCGGAGCAACGGCTCGCCCTCGGGTATGCAAGGCAGCGCACGCGGCGCGGGCCGCGGAGTCTCTGGTTCGTTTAAGGCCTCCGCGGGCGAGATGGCCGCGTCGACGGTTCCGCTGGGTCCTCCTTGGAGCGGCCTATGATTCGCGCGATCCGGCGACGACGAGAAGCGCGCGCGGTCCATTCCGGCAACGCTCGGCGGAAGTGCGCGTGCAGCGTGTGCAGCGCGTGGTCAGCAGTCCGCCGGGCTTCCATGCGTATACCGCAGCGCCGTCGTGACCTCATGCTGTAACAAACAAATATTTTTTTTTTAAGTTGGAACAAAAAAAGGCAAATTGTTATCCGTTTTTATACTACATTTTGACATTAAGAATAATATATTTAGGTTACTTATTAATAAGTTTGTAATAAGTCTAATCGTCTTTGAAGATTTCTTCCAGGTAATGTGTACAACGCTAACTAATAACTATACGAAAATGCTAAATTTTTACTCAACTAAACTTACACAGCATAAAAGAACCAAACTATAAAACCAAAACATTTTTACAATCAGCCGATATCTAATCATTAACTTATCGCATACGAGAATCTTATAAGGTCATTATTTCTCCTTGAGTCTTGGAACCAGATCGACGCGAATAAATCAAGGTTGAAGACAAAGTTATTAGCGTCTATACAATATCCAGACCAAACACGTAAATTGCATAATTCAACCTTCACATCTGCCGACATCGAAATTCATCGAAAATTCCGCATACGGCTGGAGAAGACACATGTGAGGTGACGTTGTTCTTCTGGCTGTCATCCAACGTAACGTTAACGGTAACGTCGAATTCTATAAATAATGATTGTTTGGCAACAAACACCTAATTTTACAAGCGAGAACAGATGAGCAAGGGTTGTTAAACTTGAATCGCTTTAGGAGTAAGAGATTGCAAACGCCAGCGTGATCCATTACGGGAACTTAGCGTAACGAGTTGGATTTCAACGTGATAGATTACGGAAGCATAAAGCTCTACCGCCGCGCGGAATGCCATTCGGGTATATTTGGTCCATGTATAAGACCTACCATAGACAAAGTAGTTACGCGTGCAGTATGCATTGAAATAAGTTGTAATGCCAACTATTAGTATATGTTAAATTCATAAAGATACTTCCTATAATAACATGTTTAAAATTACTTTCATTCAGGCAAAACAATTACAAATATGGAAATAAATGTATTTATAATATGTATAAGACGAGTTTGTTATCGAACATTGATATAATCTACACGCAAGTGGGTGATCAAATCACTTGATCATCCCAGGGTTTTAAACCCAGAACCTCTTCGCTATATTTGTGTGTTGTATTATGACCTTAATAAGTAGACAGAAATCGACGTGGGAGGTAAAATTGTCTCTTCTCACTCTAGTCGCGTGTCGTTGCTGTTGTTTGACCGACCATTATCCATTTAGCACACTATTCAGTCAATCAACCTGTTAAACGAATCACTCTTATCTGAAGAGAACCATATGAAGTATGTGGATTTAAATAAAACGCGAGATGTTACAAAATTTAAATATTTACTTTATCCTGCAATCTTTAAATAAAACGCTTTTAACGGTTTAACGCGAAATATATTACTTAAACTTTACAAATTATATTACTTAACTACTGCTCGACGTTTCATATTCTTCGTAGGAGCCGTGGTCACGGCTAACCAATACATTTCGCATTTAAAACCGTTAAAAATGTTTTATTTAAATGTGTACTACTGGCGTAAACTACAACTACCAGTAGGTATATACCAATATGCAAATAGCTATATTTTTAAATACCTTTATACTTTAATAATCCTTACATTTCATTTAAAACTAAAATCTAAAGGAAAACCCAAACGAAAGCACTTTCTGAGCCACAAACAAATCAGATGAGCTGAAAAGTGGTTCTGAAATTCTTTAGCGTTGTTTCCGGAGCTCAGTGAAATTAAGCTGTAGGAGAAGAGGCATAAAGTTTATGTTCCGGAAGAGGCTTTCAGTTCGCTGGCTTTCTGCCAGCTTCGGTGGTTCACGGAACGTAACATACCCAAACGAGTATGACGTACATATTTCTAGGGTTTCATTTTCTTTAGATCACTAGTTTATTTTTTTATGATAGAGGAGGACAGACAAGCATGGGTTCGCTTGATGGTAGATGAAATAGCTATATATAACGTCTAAACAAGATGCTTTGTCGGCCTATTTTGGCTTTGGAAAATCGGAAATCCTTACTAAAACCGAAAAGCGATCAAACTTATCGGCTTTTTCATCTGTAGTCGGCCGTTCGTCACCCGGACGGAATTTCGATGTTCCTATCCAGATTTCCCGACGAAGTCCAATATGTTTCAGAGAAATTATAAATTGATTAGGAAAATGGACCCGGTGGATATCGAAACCACGGCACGTTTAATAGCCATACATTGCTAACATTCCACCAAGGAACTTGTCAGAAATATTATAATATATGCCAAACATTGTAAGAATGAGTAGATATATGTTTGTTCTGCGCCAAACACGTTGCCAGATTTCGTTAAATTTTTGGTTCAAGTAGTGGAGTACCTAAACGCTACATGGTCTTCTTTCACCCCGCTTAGGAGCATAAGCAAGGAATTGAAAAATACCACCGCCGTTATTTACCAGTAGATGAAGAGTTACAGTTTTAATGTTTCATTAAAGCAGCTTGTGAGTAAAAAATAATGTGTGTGAAGCAAGAAACTTTTCAGTCGAACCGCTAATAAATATCACATATCGAGTTTAATCTATACTAATACGTAAAGCTGAAGAGTTTGTTTGTATGTTTGAACGCACTAAACTCAGGAACTACCGTTCGAATTGAAAAAATATTTTTGTGTTAATTAGAGCATTTAATGCGCTGCGAAAACGGTTTAAGATAACCAAAAAATGTAGAAAATAATGATTTCTCTTTAAACGATCGAAAAAAAGTCAGTGACAGTATATATCCATCTTTTAAGATTAACTTGCAAGAACGACGGGACGCGGACGATTCATCGGGTAACAGCTTAATTTTTTTGAATTGAACTGGAGGTTTGCCAAACCAAACATTGATACCGAAAATAACTATTCTACACGTATAAAGTCGCTGATACAGCTAGTAATTAATAGAATGGAACAAATGCGAAAACACTTTGAGCAAATTAATAGAGCTTATTAATAAGAGACCACAAAATATTTGAACCAAAAATCAAAGCTACAAATCAGTTGCTTCCTTATCTATGCGTACATACCGTTCACAAATTTGTAAACAATTACTAAGAATAATTATCTCTAAGGTCACAAAACGATAATGCTATCATCTGAATAGGCGAATGTCTGGTATCGCCCTCTGGCCACGCTGTACAAGCCACCAATATTCACTAACTGATCCTTCCATGAGTGAGGAAACCTATGCCTTTCATTAAGATTTTAATTGGCTGAAAATATAAAATCCGAAACTCATAATAGCGTAAAATAAATCAATATAGAAACAATTCGAGAAATTATACCTAAGACTTTTAAGGTGTTTGTTTGTCTATAAATTACATTACACTAACTATACTATCCTCAATATTTATAAGTCTATTTTAAAGGATTGTAACGTTAATTTTACAAGCAATTAAAAAATTCTTAGGTATTATTTTAAAAATCCAAAATAAATTGATAAAATTTTCGACTCGGGCAGGACTTGAACCGGCCATGTAAGCGTTCCGTGCTGTTGCTCGTATTGTTATAGTTCGTTTTTATTATAAAAGAAAATTTTCTTATATACGATTAATACACAATTTTCTGTAGACTTAATTAAATATGAAATCACACGCCATTTATAATAAAATACAATGATAACATTGTTGTTATCAATAGTATTAGAATTATAAAGGATTTGAGTACTCTGAACTACTTCACAAAGATCAAATATGAAACATTCAAAAGTTTTTAAACAATAAACATTTATAATTCCAGGATTAGACCCCAGAGTTTCAGTTACAAGTTTTACAAAGTACACAAAAGCCGTCGTCCTCTAAGTAAAAGTTTACGCATGTTTGCTCTACCGCAAACCGATCACCTGCCATTTGAACTAACGAAGTACGCGAGACAATAACTGTTTAATCAACTACAACTGTACATTAGCGACGTTCCGCGAACCCTAATTGTAATTAAATTGTTTCATTAAACAATACCTTTCAGCTCTTTCTTATTATCGAGATACATGTTTTAACAAATGAGTTTGTAAACAACATTCACCTTTATATGTATAGCCATGTTGGCTCGCCGTGGACAAACCGCTTGCCAAAAACCAATCCGTTGAGCAAATATCACCGCATTCTCACTAATTTACTGTAAACACGATGTACGGCACTAGTTTTAAATAGCAAACTCTATCACTTCACATTCACGTGAATTCATTGGCGGAATCAGCCACTTTATACACCGAGAAAACCGGAAAAGCTCTTAAGACTGAGTCTCCAAAAGGAGGAGAAAGAGCAGAGTCGACACGGCCGAGAACACGGTCACAAGACCACTGAGCGGCCGGTGTTCGACTCGACGTCTCATTATTTAATAGCCAGATAAAAGATTATCTATTGAGACGTCCTCGGTCAATACAGCACTAAATTACTTATTATCGCATGAATGGCAGAACGACAATTCGAATAGTAGCGCGAATTGAAGAGCCAGAATGAATCGACACAGAACGTACAGCGAGATTTATTCCACACTACGTTTAAGGCACGAAAGATAGGGGTTATCGTCAAGAATACAACGACATTACGAACGTGCTCGGAAACGTCTGGAATAAAAATTATAATAAGTATTGATTAAAGAGTCAACACTCAAGACTAAATCTAAGCCCGAGCCTGTCATATTTGAATGATAAATATGTCGTCAAGGGAGATAAGTGAGTTACATAATTGGGATTATAATCGCAATGTGTATCGCTACATTATATGTGGGTCATAAAAGCGGTAGCAATTATATTTGCCTGTAAAAAGACTTTAAGTAGTTTTTATGCAGTGGAATAATTTCAAATATAATATATAAAGTGCTATAGTAATGTTTCTTTTGGGATAACAATATAAGTGGCGGAACATTCAGATAGTACACAAGAGCAATGAACTTTTAATGACTCCGATAGTATGTATTATCAAGATGCAATTTTGAGAATGAAATC